GGAGGTCGGGCTACCATGGCAGAAACCAACCCATGTCTAGAGAGAGAGGCTTCCCAAACAACACAAAGGTCAAGCAGATTTATGTGGCAAAGCAGACTTGTAACAGCAACGCCTCGGTCTCCTCCACGACCACCACCACTTCGCCCTCAATCTGATCATTCATCCAGGTCCGTTGAGATATAAACCCATACCAATAACCCAAGCAGCTTTGGCTTCATAAGGAGATGTGGATTTTTTTCTTTTCAATTTTTGTTTCCTATAAATCCATTAGCTTTATAATTTTTATTCTCATTAGATAAATAGATTTTGCCGCTTCTTTACTCGTTTGGGGTTTCACAGTATGGGACTTTGGTATGATTAGTTTCATTACTTTGGTAAAATATTACCGTAAGGTTTTCCCCTTGTATCTTGTTGTCAACATTGTTCTGTTCTTCTATAAATCAGCAGCTCTTATTGAATTCATTTTTTTTATGTTTCACTTTCCAACTATTTACTGAATGATTGAATAAATATATCGCTATTAAAAAAAAAGATAAGACCACCAAATTGTGTAGTGAGTCGAGATTTTACTAGCTGCACATAGAAGAGCTCTATTGAGGAAAGAGAGTGAAATTTCAGAATGGGAAGGAGGATTCGTGAATTGGAGATTCGATTATCAGAAGAAGCTGAGAGATTACATGCAGAGAATTAGGTAGTCCCTAATTGTTGGTTTCATGCATGAATTACAATTTGCTCTTCTTCTAGATTTCAGTTGTTTGCTGATTCGAATACACCCGAAATCGCCATTTGCAGCGAAGTTTATGAATCCTGGATTTCGATTTCAATGGCTTCAAGCAAACTTGGTTTACTGTCTGTTTGGTGTTTGAAATGCTTTTGAGATTTCTCCAATCGTCTTCTTCTCTTTGTAGATAATGGTTTGCAGTTTAAACGGACTAAATGCCTATGAACAATATTTTGAAATTTCTCATATTAGACTCTTGAAACCAAGATTCTTTTGGTTCTCAATCTTACCTCATTAGAGAATATGGAGTTTGTGAAGTTTTGATTTGATAAACTGCATTTTATGTGCTTGTGTAACAGAGGGATGACTTACCATTACAATACTCTCCAATGTCAGAAGATTCGGATGAAGCAAGATTCTACGAGGACCCAACAATAACAAGCACTAGCTCATCGCAACCCGAGAGCCGTCCAACTAGTCCAGTTTCAAGGTATTGTTTTCCAAAGCTGCTATTATAATATTTACGACACATGGGATTGATCACGACATCTATTGATTGTTTTGGCTTTGACTGGCATTGTTCTGATATTTGTTGTTTTTCTTTGCGGTTGAAAGGCACGACAATGTAGGATACAAGCGAGCTAAAAGTAACCGTGACAACAAGCGAGGTATCTCATGAAGAGGATGAGCCTATTCGCAGGGAGAAAACTGAATCATATTGGTATGAGAACCGGTTTAGAGATTTTGGACTTGAAATCGGTTTTGGATGGGAACATTGGACCACTCCTTGGAGCTCATATTGGTATGAGAAGATCAATTGATGCAGTTTTGGTTTTGTAATTTTCCCAAATCAACCAAATGGTTGATTATGTATATGTATATAGTCTCAAATGGCTGAGAAAACTTCGTGCCAGGGTTCATTGATAAACATACAAAAATTAGCAAGATTTTATTAAGTTTCAAAGAAAAAAACTAATACAATTAATATTAAATTAATATTAATGATACTTTTTGAGGTTCATTGATAAACATGCTCTAATGTACCAAACTGTGCCATTTAGATAGATAAGCGCTAGATAAAAACTGAAATGTGCATCTTGGGTAATATTATATAAATGACTCAGTTAAATAACAGACCTCATCAACATCTTTAAGAACAAACTCTTTTAGTGCCCATAAGCAGTTCTTTTCATCATCCTCATGAATTCTTCCATGTTCACTTCACCATCATCTGCAGTTTGATTATGTAGTGGATCATATATCATGTTTCTTTAGAAGCAAAACAAATCAAACCAAGTATTGCACAAACAAAGAGAAATCAAGTTGGAAACCTACGGTCTCGGTCTGCTTCTTCAACCATCTCTCGTATCTCACCATCAGTGAAGTTTTCACCTAGGTCCTTCGCCATACGTTTGATATCATCAGCAGATATCTTCCCCTGTAATATTTACGGCAAAGGGATGAGTTTATTTCTAGAGAAATTAAAATCGGTATCCTCGTATGGAGTAAACATACATTTTTGTCAAGATCAATGATCTTGAATGCCTTGGTGAGCTCTTCTTTTGTGTCTCTTTCACCGATCTTAGCAGTCATCATGTGAACAAACTCATCAAAATCTATGGCTCCACTTCCATCTTTGTCCACATCAGCTATCATTTTGTTGATTTGCTTCAAAAACCAACAACATCAGATTCATCATTAAAACTTACAGATAGGAATAGACATGGATCTTAAGAAGAAACCAATCTCAAAATGAAAAGTATAATACCTCTTCGGTCATTTCGAAACCAAGCGCCCTATCACAAAGTAATTTCAAGGGTTAAATTCCAAAAACAGAAACTGCAGAGAGTTAACATACAAAACTCGAAAATCACCTCATAGCAACATTAAGCTCTTTAGCATCAATGGTGCCAGATCCATCAGTGTCAAATAGCTCAAAAGCTTCTTTGATCTCTTGCCTCTTCTGCTGCGTTAAACCATGATGACGTCTCGGTTTCTCTTTTCTCGAAACACCTCTGTACAGACTCGACTGCAATAAACACATCAAATCTCAAAAACATTTACATCTAGAAACCAACACGAAACAGCTCAATTTACTAGAAACAAAATCTGAACTAAGAAGAACACAATAAGGGTTTCTCCGAAATCTAGCCGAGTGTAAGAAAAGAGATCGATTTTCGCATAAATCCCCGTTTTTCGAATCAGATCTTAGAACCCATAACACAAAAATTGAGTTATCTAGCAGCGGCAAAACCCTTATCTGAATGAAATCCCCAGAAATTGCTGATATTTACACAACCAAACAACAGAAGGATAAATCGAAGATACGAACCATGTCG